ACGCATCCTTGGATGCGGCCCGGTTTGCAGCCAGGGCATGGCTTCTTCCATCTCCTCACGTAGACTTCTGTGGCTTAAACCCTGGAAGGCTGACTCCAAATCAAAGTGGAGATTAGCATCTGCCCCTTACCACGGGTCCTCTTTATTTGGGGCAGCATTGGATCCAATTTTAATAGAAGGGAAAGATAAACGTAAAGTCTTGCCTGTTTCTTACAGTAGACAGGACCGTAGGTTCACGCCTTATGGTCAGCGGCAGCCCTTTCGGCCAGAATCTGGGCCCAGGGGGTCCTATTATGGTCGACAGTATTCACAAGGATCCGACCGCTTTGCAGGAAGGCAGGGCAATAGTGACAGAGAGAGGTTCCAATCCTCTTCCAGACGACCCTTTAAGGGAGCCGGAGCCAGACCCCGTTCTTCCAGAAGGGGAAAATGACTCCCTCGAACCTTTCCCAATTGGGGGGCGGCTTCTTCACTTTCTTCCCCAATGGGAGACCTCCACGTCCGATCCTTGGGTTCATCGTACTGTGGGGGTAGGATTGACTCTGGAATTTTGGACCCTTCCCAAATGTGTTTTTGTTCGCTCCCCAGTGCCCCGACGTCGAGACAAACTGAACAATCTCAACTCAGAAATCTAGCACCTTCTTCGGATTGGAGCAATAGAGGAAGTTCCTCTATCGCAACGGAGGAAGGGAGTTTATTCTCTCCTGGTTTTGGTTCCAAAGGCCTCGGAGGGGTGGAGGGCCATCTTGAATCTCAAGTACCTCAACAAGTTCATCAGGTACAAGAGATTCAAGATGCAGTCCCTCCGAACCATTCTGGGTTGCATTCGGAAGGGGGATGTTATGACTTCCATCGATTTGCAGGAAGCTTACTTGCATGTACCAATCCACCCTCACCATCGCAAGTACCTCCGCTTTGTGTACAACAGCCAACATTATCAGTACTGGGCGATGCCCTTTGGGCTTTCGTCTGCTCCGAGGGTGTTCACCAAACTGTTAGCAGCAGTTGCTGCCACCATTCGGTTAATTCCAATCCGCATATTGTGCTATCTCGACGATATTTTAATTTTGTCCAATTCCCCCCTTCAAGCTCAGCAGGACATGCAGCGGGTCTGTCGGGCCCTGGAACTCCATGGCTTCTCTATAAACCACAAAAAGAGCCACCTCTCCCCGACCAGGTCCATCGTTCATCTGGGAACCCGCATCGACTCAGAGGCGCTTCAGGTGTTCCTCACGGAAGAGCGACGGAGGAACATCACAGACTTGGTCCAGCATACCCTGTCCTTGAGGCGAGTGTCTCTGATAACTTTATCTCGGTTGCTCGGCAAGTTTATTTCCTGTTTAGATATAGTTCCGTGGGCACACCGTCACTCGAGGCCGCTCCAGTGGTTCCTCCTGCCCTTCCAGTGCCGGGGCCTGGGTTCTTCCAAGATCGCGGTGTTGCTTCCGAGCCCAGTACGGGGGTCTCTCCAGTGGTGGATGTCGGAAGCTCTCTCCAGAGGTTGCCACTTCCATGTGGTCTCCAGGTTAGTGATTACCACGGACGCCAGTCTGTCCGGTTGGGGCGGTCATCTGGGCTCTCTGGTGGTCCAGGGACTCTGGTCGATGGCAGACTCTCAGGACAATATCAACGTTCTGGAATTGAGAGCCGTGCGTCTGACACTGCTACATTTTCAACAGTCCCTCCTCCACCGGCATGTCCTTGTCCTCACGGACAATATGTCAGCAAAAGCCCACATCAATCGGGAGGGGGGTACCCAATCCCCTGCTCTCATGAGGGAGGCCGAAGCATTGTTGGACTGGGCGAAGATTCATGTGTTGTCTCTGAGGGCGGAGCATATTTCCGGGACGGCGAACATCACTGCGGACTGGCTGAGCAGACAACATCAGGACCAGTCGGAGTGGAGGTTGCATCCCGACCTGTTTCGGCAGCTGACATGTCGATTTGGCCTTCCCCTGGTGGACCTCTTCGCCAGTCCGGACAACACACAGCTACCGAGGTTTGTCACACGATTCCCTTGCCGGGGGGCCGAAGCCTGCGACGCCCTGAGGAGTCCCTGGCCTCAGGGCCTCCTTTATGCCTTTCCCCCCATCCCACTGATTCCAAGGGTGACCCGAAAACTGTTGTTAGAGAAAGCGGATCTGTTGCTGGTCGCTCCCCACTGGCCTCGGCGTCCCTGGTTCGCCGACTTGGTGAGCCTCTCCGTAGATCGACCGTGGCGCATTCCCCAGGACCAGGTCTCGCTCAGTCAGGGGGCTGTTCTACATCCAAGCCCCCAGTGGCTGCAGTTAGCCGTATGGCGCTTGAGCGGGTCCGCCTGAGGAAAGATAACATCTCAAATGACGCCATCCTTACCATCCAAGCGGCCAGACGCCCGTCCACTGTCCAAATTTATGACGCCTCCTGGAGGGCCTTTTGCCTTTGGTGTGCCTCCCAGCATACGGACCCTACGTCCGCAACTGTACCTGACGTTATCAACTTCCTCCAAGCGGGCCTCGCCAAAGGTTTTGCCCCCTCTACCCTCAAAAGACAGGTGGCTGCTTTAGCAACTGTTCTTGTGCTAGGGGATTCCGGCTCGCTGACTCTGGATCCCCGTATTCGTAGTTTTTTAAGGGGTGCTACGAATCTCCGACCTCCTCCCATTCGTAGATACCCTACCTGGGACTTACCTCTTGTTTTGAATTCTCTTACGATTGCTCCTTTCGAGCCGTTAGCCTCTGTTAGCCTTAAGTTTTTGTCTCTGAAGCTGGCCTTTTTACTGGCCATCATGTCAGCTCGGAGGGTCTCTGAACTTGCCGCCCTGTCAATTCGCAGTGACCTTTGTATTTTTAAACCCAATTTGGTTGTCCTTAGACTAGACCCCTCGTTTGTTCCCAAAATCAATTCGGTTTTCCATAGACAACAGGAGGTTATCCTCCCTGACTTTTGTCCTGAACCCCGACACCCCTTAGAGACCCAATGGCATACCCTCGACATACCCCGGGCACTACGCCGTTATATTGCCAGGACTGCCACTTTTCGTAAGTCAGAATCACTCTTCGTGTCCTTCCACCCGGCAACCATGGGCCAATGGGTGTCATCTCAAACCATAGCCAGATGGATCAGGGCCTGTATCTCCGCAGCCTATGGCGCTAGGGGCAAGCAAGTGCCAGGGCGAATTTGGGCACATTCAACACGCAGTGCAGCCACGTCGGCGGCGTGGTCAACTCAAGCGTCTATCCTGGACATTTGCCGAGCTGCCATGTGGACATCGCTCTCACCTTTTGTTCGCCATTATAAGATCGATACCTTCGCCTCTGCAGACGCTTCATTTGGCCGGAGGGTATTGCAATCTGTCCACTCCCCTGGGATCCTGGGACCCAGCCAGCCTCCCTCCCAATAGACAGGTGCTTGGGCATATCCCAATGAGGAATTGCGCAGCATCACCATGGAAAATGAACGTTGTCTCACCTGAACGTTCCTTTTCGGGGCGATGCTAAGCAATTCATCCCTCCTCTCAGGCTGTCTGGGACGGGAGCGGGCTCTTTCCTGTTTTTCCTCCTCAGATCACGACTACTATGGGGTACCTTCGAGAAATAAACTGCCGTGCTGAGGAGCCAGGGAGGAGTGGCCAGCAGAAGATTTAAAGGCACAGCACACTCTCAGTCCCTAGCAAGATGTGAGGGAGATCCCAATGAGGAATTGCTTAGCATCGCCCCGAAAAGGAACGTTCAGGTGAGACAACGTTCAATCTAAGAAAGAAATAAAAAGACTAAAACAGTTCCTCTCCTGCAACCAACACCCATATAAACAAGAACTAATACCAAGCAAACATTCAATCAGAAAAAAAACCACACCCTAATCAAGGAACTATGGAGGACAAAACCACATCCCACCAATATTGATAAAGTAAGTTATTGTATATAAACAGAATAAATCCCACAGTTGCTAACATTGATGATATTATGTATGTTAATTAATGTATGTTAGCAAACAATCGAACTCAGAGAGCAGCAAATACTCCATATATTATATTTTGTTACTTTTTTGTTTAATTTTCATTACTGCTTATTTGTAAGGAAGAGCCTATTTACCAGAGCTTTGAAGCAGTGGTGAAATCCAAATTTTTTTACTACCGGTTCTGTGGGTGTGGCTTGGTGGGGGTGGCTTGGTGGGGGTGGCAGGGGAATGATACTGCAAAATCTCCATTCCCACCCCACTCCGGGAGGAGGATATTGCAAAATCTCCATTCCCACCCCACTCTGGGGCCAGCCAGAAGTAGTATTTGCCGGTTCTCCGAACTACTCAAAATTTCCGCTACCGGTTCTCCAAACTGCTCAAAATTTCCACTATTGGTTCTCCAGAACCTGTCAGAACCTGCTGGATTTCACCACTGCTCTGAAGTCATAAATGGTATCTCAGAATGTTGCTTAAGATCTTTGGCAGATTTGGTTTCTTTGACGTGCTCATTTAGTCCCAAATTAGATATAATTTCATGTTTTATTTGACAAATAGAGAGCTAGAAATGGTTAGGTATGTCTAGGTAGATCTATGCCATGCTTTTAGTTATTGAAAAACATGCTTGAACAGATCTTTTAGAAGAACATTGGACAGAATATTTTGAATCTATAAAATATAATAATACTGTAGCAGAATAAGATCACTCCTTTTTCTGTGGAAAGTACAAAATATGAATGCAGTTCTGTGGGGTTGTTGAAATGTAACTTTAAACATTATAAGAACTTCATTTTACAACAATGTAGGAATGACTCCTGCTAATGGAGCTTTTAACATGGAGTTTAAAAGTTGATATTTGTGCCAATGAAGACCGCTATTTTCCACCCTGAGACATTGACTAAAAACAATTTTTATTCTCTTCCCACCTTTTTTAAATTTCCTTTTGAATATTATTGTTAATAGATGATTTGAGGGGGAAAAAACATAGAAAAACAAGAGATATGCTTTTTCTTTTCAACTGGCATGTTTTATGTCCCAAAGGAGGAATAAGAGGAGGGAAAAAATTCTTGTGTCTCCGGATTTTTTTTATTCCACATTTGACAGAGAATGTTCTTGCCAGTGTTTACAGGAATTGAAAATTCTTTTTTCTTTCCATGCCATGTTTCGGTTAGTTCTCCTGGGATCTTTTCTGAAATAACTTCATTGTGCTGCACTGGATATCAGGATACGCGAAGGAGATGGCACCATCTGAAGGAGGAAATTTGATCAGTGTTGATGTCATAAGATATTAGATTCCACATATAATTAATCTGAGTAATAATAAGAAAGGAACACTGTTATCCCTTCACATGACATTTTTGTAATGGTAAAAGAATATCATTTATTTATTCTGGACAAATAGAATGGCATTTCCAGAAAAGTAATGTCATGACATAAGGGATATTTCATAGATGAGATTTATTTATTTTTTTTGCAAAGTGGCCAGTGTTTTTTTTTTACAATTTTATCTTGACTTTTTCTTTTGGAGTCAGAGGATATAGAAAAATATGTTTAAATAAAGGATATACAGGTAGTTTTCAACTTACAACTGTTCATTTAACAATGGTTCAAAGTTATGGTCGCCTTGGAAAAAGTGAAAGAACGGACAGTACAGAACTGATTTGTCATTGCTTTTTTCCAGGATATTTTTGCAACAAGCTTACCCTACATTAGAGTTCCTCAAACTTGCTGACTTTAAGATGTCATCTGGAGAATATGGAAGATGAAGCCCACACATCTTAAAGTCGGCTCGGTTGAGAAACACTGCATTATAATTTCATAATGGTCTCCCATCCAAGTATTTACCATTCCTAGTCTGTTTAGCTTTTAGAAGCTAGGTGAGCTTGATTCTGATCTGTTTTCCATGTGCAACTGAAGTTGTCTGGTATGTCTCCAAAAAATAATCAAATCTATTTTTAAACAGCTAGGATTTTATAAATGTATCTAGATTTATGATCATCCCATATATCGAGAAATGCCTTCCATGGTGCAAGCATATACATGCCTACTCAGAAAGAAAGCTTTTCTTTTTTGACGATTTGCTGTAGATGAGTAATTTTGACTGCAGAATTGTTTCCCTATCCCTAGATTGTTTTTGCAGGTCAGATGTGCACTTGAAGATAATTATCATTTGCAAAATTCTCATTTAAAGTTCAGCTAAAAAGTTAGCTAACATGTGGCTTTTTACTTGGAGCAGAACAAAGTCAACTTGAAAATGGGTTCAACACCTCCCCAACCCCTATTTGGCAAAGTCCTTAGAGAAAGAGTGAGATATGAATAAGATAGGTAAGCCATTTGATACTCTATCCTAGTTCTAGTTTTGTAGAGATTCTTCAACTCTTCTTTTTTCTAAAGACGTTATACCACTTATTATACAGATCAGGGGTGGGTTCTACTTACCTTTACTAACGGTTCGCACCATGCGCAGATGACCCATGATAACGTCGTGGCAGGTGGGCGGAGCCTCCCGCCGGTTTTACTACCGGTTCTATAGAACCAGACACAACCGGGAGCAACCCACTACTGATACAGATGAAAAAGACCATTTATTGAGAATTAGGAAGGTGTTTATAACATTATAGTTATATGACAGAAGGATTTATCATGTTTTGAAAATGTTGATACATTTGATAACATTAGTTTCATTGACTTTAAGGGATAAGTTGTCAATTCTATAATTAATGCAACACTGCCAGATAATATTAAGTACTATCAAGAAGTAGATTTCGGAAGACATCTTTACAATTCCATTTTTAAACATGTGCTGGGCTGCATTGCATAAAAACATGTAAAACTATAAAAGTTACATTTATGGATTGTGCCCATGCTTTTTATTTATTTGGGAAGAGCATCTCATTCTACATTTAAAAAGATTATGTGAGAATCAAGTTTAAAAAAACGAATGAATGTCTTGTCCAAAGCACATCAATAATTTATACAAATGTACTACTTTTTGTAATTCAGGGTTGAAATGAGTCTTGTTGCTCTTTGGTTGTTTTCTTACAGACATTTCATTGGCCAAACTAGGTAATATCATCAGTGTTACTTAGTTTGAAACATGAAACATCTGCAAGAAAACCAAGGTTAGAGAACACCAAGGATCCCTCAATACTACATTTTTCCTGAGCTAAACTTAACTGCTTGCCAACCAAATTATTTGACATTTTTCAGCCACTTCCCAAGCTCAGAACTATAGCAAAACCCATCCCAGATGCCTCCTGTATTTCAGGCAAGTGAGAAAACCTACCACTCTACTTTTATGTGGTGCCTTGTAGCAATGTCATGTTGAGAGATATAAGATATGAGGTTCACCTTTTATAGATAAACTGAAGGTGGTTCACTTGAATAGTCTTTCGTAGATGATCTTCATCACCTTAGGGATAATCCTCTATATGACAGAGCATTTTCAAAAACTCTAAAATGTCATTGTTTTGATATATGGAATAGGAAAAGGGTTTTTTTCCTCCCAAAATAGAGCTGTTTTAAAAATGGCCTATCTCCATTTTCTATCGAAGCTAGGTGAGCTTCAGATTAAGAACTGCCACTTTCTATCCTTGTTTTTGTTCTAAATAATAGACAGATTCATTTGAACAAATCAATTTCTAATTTGGAGAATCATATTTGATGAAAATTATAGTCCAGGAGTAGGTAATCCAAATACAGATTTATCAGTAATTTTCTTGCCATAATTTTGAGGATCATCAATTTGATGGTTTTAACGTTCTTGATTTTAAAGTATGCTATTGGGCAGATTTATTAATTTCAATAAAGTATTGGAATGAAGATGACGCTGAATATGGGGGCCAACTTGAGAGTTATGAACCATGCATGGAATTCTAATTATAGTAAAAATAATATGTGATTTTTTTTCAAGCATTTGATACATTTGGTTTTTATTGGGAACAAAATAACATTTTATTCGGAAATCATGGTCTTGGGTTATTATATTATATTGTGAAATCCTGGCCAACTGTAAATAGTTTATTAGACTTAGTGTTCGAGAAGGTAACCAAAAGCTGTACTTTGATGGCTGTCATAAAAGTGCCTTTGGCCTTGAATGCACTTTTGCTAAAATCTGCAGTTCATAACTTGTCAGACTCAGTTATATACGCTTTTCAACAGTCTTATAAAATTATAAAATCTGTCAAGTCTGATATTACAACCTTTTCTATCAGAAAAACAAAAAAATGTATATGTGTAAAACACCAAGGGAAATTAAAACCATTACCTCAAAAACAGTTAACTAGTAATGCAGCTTTAGTTTTGTCAAATACTTTGTGTGGCTAACACCTGAGTGTAATTTATTTGCTTCAGGATAAAGAATGTCTGATCTTCAAAGAAGCAGTTAGATTGGTATTTATTTGTTTGTTGTTTTTATCTCACCTTTACTATTTTTATAAATAACTCAAGGCGGTTAACATATCCTCAGTCACAGAAACTCAGTATGTGACTTTGAGCTAATCACTCTTGGCCCAACACCCCATAGGATGTGGTTTGGGGATAAAATAAAGGGAGATCCATAGGCACCTGAGGTTCTAGATAAAAGTTGATATATAGATATGGATATTGTGATACAGAGATGGGTGGGTGGGTGGATAGGTAGGTAAGTAGGTAGGTAGGTAGGTAGGTAGGTAGGTAGGTAGGTAGGTAGATAGATAGATAGATAGATAGATAGATAGATAGATAGATAGATAGATAGATAGATAGATATGGATGTTGATAGATATAGATATATCATAGAGACACTGGTGGTCACTATAATATATCTGGGTGATCAACTAGCTGACCATCCAAATATATGTATTTGGCTGATCAGCTAGTTGAACATTTACAGTATCTAGTTTATCATTCAAGAACAACCTTTGACAAATCTCAGCCTCACACTCTACTTTCCCTATTTTTCTTGCAGTTGTGAATAGGAGCAATTGGATCTGTTTTAGACTGGATTGACAAATTTTGCTAAACTATAATGTGCTCTATTTGAGCTTAGCTTGCTGTGTGAATCCAGCCATTGTGGTTTGTTAACCACAGGTTATGACTAAGTACAGGCATAGACAAATTATGGCACTCAGATACTGTTGAACTACTTCTTCCGGTATCCCCCATAGATAATTGGCTTTTCTTGATAGGCTATGTAATTCACACTAGTTGTCTACCCTCAGCTTGTGGTTCATTTAACAAGTCATATTGAAATACAGTTAATTGTCTTGACTTAGGCTGACGAATTGTATTTAATCCTGACCTGACCATGCTATAGTTTACTGTATATTTTCCCAATGTGGTGCCTTTTAAATATGTTCTCAATACTATTTCCAAAATTTTCAGCAAGAAAACTGCCAGAAATGGATAATGGAAAATATTTGTTTGTTTGTTTAGCTGCCCATCTTGTCGCCACATTCCACATCATTTGAGGGATATCAAGTTTTCTATCCTTGTCCAAGATATTTTGCTTTTTTTTAGGCATTCTCTGACTAGTATATCAGCTGTGCAAAAAAAATATTTTGTGCTCCCAATCTTTGTCTTGAAGGTATATGATGTAACTGCAAGTGCTTTTATAGCTATTGTCTCCTTCCTCTGAGCCGGCTAGCTAATGACTGACTGAAATATTTCTGCTTACCTAAGTTCTATCACACGTGAACCAAAATGTTTTGATCATTGGCACCATTACAAATATAGGCAGGTGGTAATAAATGAAAATACACATTTACCAGAAGCAAATGTGCTGGAAATTCAGCTGAGATCAACACGATGTATCGCAAACGCATAATCCTAGTAGCTTAACAAAACAGGGACTTTTTGTCCTTGTTTTTTAAGTAGATGTGAGGTATCATTTAAATGTATTGATCATCATAATTTATTTTAGCACCTGGAACTTTCCCTCCTAGTGTATGATGATAAATATTTTACCCGATCAAAACTCTGAGATATATGCAGTGGGAAAAGCCCTTGTTGAATTTACAGCTGGCTGTTTTTTAACCTTTTTTATTTGTAACTGGTGTATATGGCAATTAGAACACAAAACATGAAAACTGTCAGTGTATCAAAGCTCCAATTTATATATCACCGTCTAAATTGCAACTGTTATTATAGTGATAAATTATCAAGATAGTTTAAATGTTTTCTATCCTTTTTTGGGTACAGTTAGAGATCATGGAAAGAGTGAATCATGAAAAAAATACTCCATAGAAAAACTACCAGCTTTGATAATGAATCATAAATGACAGAAATGACAGATTTGCTCATAACCACATCAGATTAGCTGGGGGAGGGGGGAATGGATAAGTAATTTATGAGATTATATCTCTATATTAGCTTTCCTGCATTGCATATTCAAGACTCTGGTAGAGCATAAGATGGAAGTTTCATACAGTTTGCTTCTCATTGGACAGTTCCCTTATTCTCGGGGGGGGGGGGAACCAACTGATCTGGTTCTGCTATTCTAATTTTATAAGAGGTGAAAGTGGAGGTAGAGAAGCTGCTAGAGATCTGGAGTATTTTTGAAAGTTTGTTTTGTAGAAAAACAAGCAAAGAAGAACATTTTCCAACCTGTTGCTTTCCAGTTTTGGATTTTATTTATTTAGACATCGCCAAACTATTTCAAGGATATCAATTACAATAAGATGTAGATTTGGTTGAAATGACATAAAAGGCTGAGTAACGATTAAATAAAAATAAAAAGTTAATTGCTCCTATTCATGAGCACATAGTCATTACTTTTATAAATTGATGAATTTTCAATTTACTTTTCCTACCCAAGTAATTAAAAAAAATAGCTACAATGATGCATGTTCATGCGTGAATAGCAATAGCAATAGCACTTAGATTTATATGCCATTTCATAGTGCTTTACAGCCCTCTCTAAGCCTTTTACAGAGTCAGCCTATTGCTCCCAATAAGCTGAGTCCTCATTTTACTAACCTTGGAAGAATGGAAGGCTGAATCAGCCTTGAGCCATTGAAAAATGGACTGCTGGCAGTCAGCAGAGTTAGCCTGCAATACTGCATTCTAACTACAGTGTCAACACGGCTCACAGTTTCCAATGACTTCTAAATAAAGGTAGTCCTCAATTTACGACCACAACTGAGCCCCAAATTTGTTGCTAAGTGAGACATTTGTTAAGTGAATTTTGCCCCATTTTACGACCTTTCTTGCCACAGTTGTTAAGTGAATCACTGCAGTTGTTACATTAATGACACGATTGTTAAAGGAATCTGGCTTCCCCATTGACTTTGCTTGTCAGAAGTTCGCAAAAGGTGATCACATGACCCTGGGACACTGTAACCCTCATAAAAACAAGTCTGTTGCCAGGTTTTTGAATTTTGGTCATGTGAGCACAGGGATGCTGCAACACTCATAAGTGTGAAAAACTTACAAGTCATTTTTTTTATCACTAAATGAACTGTTGCATGTCGTGGACTACCTGTATTTACCACATTTATGACAATTTCAGCATCTCAGGGACATGTGATCACCTTCTGCAACCTTCTGACAGGCAAAGTCAATGGGGAAACCAGATTCACTTAACAACTGTGTTACTAATTTAATAACTGCAGTGATTCACTTAACAAATGTGGCAAGAAAAGTTGTAAAATGGGGTAAAACTCACTTAACAAATTTCTCACTTGGCAACAATTTTGGGCTCAGTTGTGGTCATAAGTGGAGGACTACCTGTATGCAATTGTATCTGTGTGGAATTTTGAGCAGGAAATCTTAAAATAATTTACAAATATATCGAGAATTCAAAGCTCGAATTTAGAAAAAAAAAATTACATTAGATTGCAGTTGCTCATTTCGAAACCCTATTGACCTTAGCTATTGGCAGCGTGGACTGGACTGATGATCACTTTGACATGTAGAGGTTCAATGATTTTATGCTTCAGATAAAATTACAGAAATATCTATCTAGACTGTGGTCATATACAGAAATACCTATCCAACAGGTCCTTCTTGTGATTAAATATTCAAAGGATGACATGATTAAACATGATGATGTATTTAAATAGTATGAAGGCACTTGTAGAGATGGATTCATAGATATTTCTGTTTTGCAACCCAGTTTTTGCTACATTTTATTTTCCTTTTCCAAAAGCTTGAAACCTATCTATGATAAATCATGTAATATTAACTGGTCTCATAACCATGCTTCCAGGTGAGGCACTTGCAATAAAGGTAAAGGTTCCCCTCACACATATGTGCTAGTCGTTCCCAACTCTAGCAGGTGGTGCTCATCTCCGTTTCAAAGCCGAAGAGCCAGCACTGTCCAAAGACATCTCCATGGTCATGTGGCCGGCATGACTAAACGTCAAAGATGCACAGAACGCTGTTACCTTCTCACCAAAGGTGGTCCCTATTTTTCTACTTGCATTTTTACATGCTTTCGAACTGCTAGGTTGGCAGGAGCTGGGACAAGTAACAAGCTCACCCCGTTATGTGGCACTAGGGATTCGAACCACTGAACTGCTGACCTTTTGATCAACAAGCTCAGCGTCTTAGCCACTGAGCCATTGTGTCCCTTGCACTTGCAATACAATTATATAAAACCTGCCTTATTTATAGAAATTGGGGGGGTAGGTCCATCTTTTATTTATGTACTTTTGTATGTTCCTCTTTATTTCCTTATTACCCAAAAAAATCTATTAAGGAGAAAAGGATAGGATGCATTTAGGAACTGCTTATCTGAAAATACCTCTTGCAGAAAATTAATGCTTCAATGCTAATTGAAGCTTTGATTTTCCTGAACAGCATTTGTTCTATAGAAAACTATCCTTAAGTCGCTAAAAGGAGACATGTTCTTTCTGTTGAGCTGTTTGTAGAAAAATGGATTTTGTCAGTTTCTTAAATACATGTTGAACTAAAACCAATTGAGTTCACTCATTTTTACAGTTTTAAATTATACTCTTGGTTTCTATAGAATTCATTAAAACTGATATATATTTCTGAACAGAGCCTTATGTATGCCTGAGTCAAAATTGGAGTTCAGTTCAGTGCTAAGATAAAGTGCCAGCTGAGATCTGTGAGAACTATTTTAAAAAGTTTATAAATATTCATTTTGAGGAATGAGTTATGATTACTATATGTTGCTCACCTTTCCTGGCACCATTAAACCAACCTTCCTTCCTCCCTCCCTTCCTTCTTTTCTTCTTTTCCTTCTTCTTTCCTTCTTTCCTTGTTATTTCACTACTGTTATTTCATGGTAGTTGCATTAGTTAATTAAACTGGATTATTCTGAAAATGCTTTGAATATTCTTGCTTGGGAGATGGAAAGGGAACATGTGCAAATGAATGTACTATTGCACAGTTTTACCTGGATGAAAATCATTCCATTTTAGTTCCAGTTAAATATATGGTATATTAATTATCTTAGTTTCTCATATGGCAGCTGGTATAATATTCATCAAGAATTAAATAATTTTTTAAATAAACCAAAAAATAAGTTAAGTTTGGGAGATACACAAGCTGATTTTATACCCACATCTTGTACTTTCTTAATTTAATAATTCTGTCTTGGAATATTTATACAGTCTATAAAAATAAAACACATAGTTTGCTTGTGCTTTCATTTCAACTTCCTGCATAAAAACCATACTGCATGGATTAGTTTCATAATAATTTAAATTATAGAAAACTGATGGGATTTAATTCTGCAGTAATACCTTAAAAGAGTGAAGTACTGTATTAACCATATATTTAGATAGTTGCTTTCATTTACTTCCTCTGTTCTTCTTCTCTCTTCTAAAAATGGACTAATAGAACCATGTGATATGCTGTTATATAACTGAATTCCTACCCACTCATTGGACTGATGAAGTTGTGTTTGTTCTGTTATATAATAATAAGATTATTTTTTTCAGCAGAGTTTACTCTCCAAGACTTTTCCCCTTCTAGCACCCCAAGGCATCAGTTACTGTCTGCTCCAATGTTTGCATTTAGCCTAGAGTGTTTGTGATCTCAGAAATATTTCCTGTAAATGGAATCTCTCATGCCTGGCATGTCACACAATAGATATATAATTGGATAAATTCTAAGCTGGGAACTTCAAAACAACAAGGAGAACTATATATTGTTCTGTACAAAGTGCATGGATCTCTCTCAGTTGAATGGCCTTTTGTTATTTGCACATGAAACTACTTAAGTATATTTTTCTTGCATAACATAAAAAATAATCCAATTTAATAATTAAGATCAATAGCAATTTTCTTCCTTTCCCCAGAACATAAGATCCTGGCTTGTTTCATTTAACTATAAATATATGTCACTAGAGGACCTGAAGTAACAAAAACATATGTTTGTTTTGTTATCTATAAGTAGATTTCTGGAGCAAGCTTGTAATAAAATGATACTTGAATCTTATCCACAAAATTTGAATGATACAATATAAGGGAAGTTATGAAATGCTGATATTCATTTCTATAAAGAATGAGCTATGTTTGTGATAATTAGAAATTATATTGAGTAGAAAGACATTTTCACCTGACACTTAAGAAACAGGGTAAAACCTGGTAAGCTTTCTTGGGGAAGACACTTTATAAATAGGTGCTGTCTCTGAAAAGGCCTTAGGGTACAAATAAAAAAGGCCTCCAGTAATAGGTTTTCTAGCTGGAATATAAGGAAAAATGATTCAATGCTGAACCCATTTTGAACTTGCAGGTATCAATAGGCAGATTAAACAGCACAGATGAAGGATAGGCTTTAGCAACTCTTTAAGTAAGAGTGTTCAAAGAGCAATTCTGGAATGGTGAAAGAATGGGTATCTGCTTTTGGGAAGTGGGAATGGGAAAGGAGCAGTGAACCAGTAAAGGAGACCATTCAATACTGAGAAAGTGGAAAGTATGAGAAAATTTAATATAAGATGGGCAGAAAGAAGTTCTGACAGGCTTTCAAGGATTATTATATCCCAATTTATAACAGTAAAGAACATTTCTGGGATTCATGTTGCTTCTGCTTCTTGAACCTACCAACCTTGAAGCACTGATAGGGCCAAACCAAAACCCCATGTTGCTTCTGTTTGGTTTGCACAAACCAAAATCTTTATGGGAAGTTTTGAGTAGAACCTAAATACATCTTCTTCTACCTTAAGGCCTTTCAGTAAAGAGGTATTGAAAAAATAAAGCCATTTCCAGGAGTGAGGATGAAGGAATTTGTCACTTAAGGCAGATGGCTATTCCTTTACTCACACTGAATCTATAATGCCCAAAATGGCAGAACCAGCCTCTGGATACTAACAGATTAGGGTCAGAGGTGGGTTTCAGCAGGTTCTGACCAGTTCTGGAGAACCAGTAGCGGAAATTTTGAGTAGTTCGGAGAACTGGCAGTAAAAATTCTGACTGGCCCCGCCCCCATCTATTTTCTGCCTCCCAAGTCCCAGCTGATTGGGAGGAAATGGGGATTTTGCAGTAACCTTCCCCTGGATTGGGGAGGGAATGGAGATTTTACAGTATCCTTCCCCTGTCATGCCCACCAAGCCACGCCCACCAAGCCACGCCACACCCACCAAGCCACACCCACAGAACTGGTAGCAAAAAAATTGAAACTCACCACTGATTAGGGTGCATCTGAAGCAGTGGTGGGTTGTCCCAGGTTCGGATCAGTTCTATAGAACCAGTAGTAAAACCAGCAGGAGGCTCCGTCCACCGACCCTGATGTCATCAGGAAGCTTCTGCTGCGCAGAAGCGAGCATGCACGGCCCCATTGCGAACTGGTAGTAAAGGTAAGTAGAACCCACCCCTGATCTGAAGACCATCTTCTGCAAAGGAGACATGATACCAGGCCATGTGATGGACTATCCCAACCTCAGTGGAAAAATACCACACTATGCAGAAACAAGTTACTCAAAAAGAGACTACAATTACTTACAAGATCTGACACAATGAACACCCCATTACTAATAGCTAAGTGGAAGGCTGTATAGGTACATGAGTCTAACCAGAAAGATGCATAAACCAGCCTGTCCTAGTTCCCTAGTTACTGCAAGTAACTTCAGCATCTGCTTCCCACTCAGTGCTCCCAATCTAGGTTGTCTCTTGACAGCAACCAGATTCAACCTACTGCATTATGTTTATATGACTACACATAACTACACAATTCTCAAGAGCTATTCTGAGTGATTTATAGTTTGAAGAAACATAAAAGCAAGGAATGAAAAATAAAAACAATATAAAATAAAATAATAACCTTCGGTACATAAAAACCACAGAATAACATAAATAACTATAATATCAGAAGTTAATAATAATATAAGCAATAATAATATTCGTATTATAGGGAGTACCTTTTTTCACGTTCCCCTATTCTCAGGCTATCTGATCATGCTTCAACTCCATTTTCCTCTTCAACTTCAAAAATCCGCACAACTTCCTCTGTCGCCAACTGCATATACAAGTGTACCACACCCCACTTTCCTGGCCTTCCCCTTCTGTTCCGGCAATTTTGTATGCAAGCGCACACTCGCCTGACTCCTGCTCTTTGTGCTAGCTTTGTGTTAGCTAGCTAACAGGCTTTTACACTTCATTGCTGGCCAGACCACAAAAAAAAAGTTATTTGTGCTACATGATCAGAATTTTGTCTATTTACACAAATACCATATTGTGGTAACTTGGATTGGGGAGTTCCGCTGGACTATTGCAGCCCTGACTTGACTTCAGCATTTTTCAGCCTTGAAACTGAAACTCATTGTCACCGAAACAGTTTTTCAGTGTAGTTTTATTGGCCATTCCATCTAATTCTGGAGAACCAAATCTAAATTCTCCACATAAAACCTGGCGGTTGTGTATGCAAGCCACAAATCAAGAACAGTCCTGTTTTAAATTCTGTTCAGCATGTAACAACACATCTTTTTACATCAAGCAATAATTTAAACATTAACTTTTTCTTTCCACAGCAGTTAGACCTGGTATGAAGTTCCACTGTACCAAGCATAATATATTGGTAGTATGACTGTTAACAGTGTTAAAATAAACATGTGGGTACCTAGCATAAATATTTATTTTAGGACATGGTAAGCTTATTAGAAGTTCTAAGTGAAGTTTTCCCCATGTGGTACTTCCTTATAATTGAACCTATTGGCCATGAAATTTGTAGGTGACACATCTTGGAAGGCACCAGATTCAGAAAAGCTATCCCATTGAGAACTAGCTGTTGCATTTTTGTTGTGGGCTCATCCACCCATAGTTGCACTGATGTAACCATAATGTGACAGTGCCATGTTCCTGCAATAGTTAAAGAATTTATTTTCCCGGCAGTACAGTGCAGTTCACATTTGTGATGCTACAGTTCTAGAAGATTGGAGAGTGACATTTTCCCATTCGAGGGAACTTCCTCTGGCTGCTTGAACTTAAATCTTTTTAATAGATTTGACAGGCAGATACATACATGAATCCAATCTTGATTCTTCTAATCAGGTTTAATAATCCTATTTGATTTTATTTGCTTACCTATGTAGCATGTCAGAAACTCTAGCCTCTGATTATATCCTGCTCTGTGGGTTTAGTGAGATATTATCTTCCTGATCTACTCTGTCCACACATGTAGAAATTGTAGTTTGTAACCTACATCCCTGGTTACAGCCTGTAGAAGAGTGCCTGGCTGGAGAATCATAGGCTCATAGCATTATTAAGGTGTTCAGTATAAATTTGTATGGAAGAGGAATTTTGTCTTGAATACTTACTCTCATATTCATACCTCCATTGTTAGCCAGTTACATACAGCATGTACTAAAAACATAAAGGGGAACAATTTATTTTTAATTCTTTCCATGTAGAGCAAAGGTGAGGGATTTCTATTGCTCCGGTAGCTATTCCATGTACCTCAAGAAACAGGACACTGAATGAGTTATGTCTTTGCATTCTCCAATCAGTTGGCCAAAAGGATCTTGATTATCTAATAGGGTTTGATGCCTTGTCTTCCAAGGTTGATAATGTCAGGGGTTGGTCTACTGGCTGGAAATTAAAGTCCATGGGGCTTCAAGTTGTTGAGTTTGAAAACACTGTTCTATAGAAACTAAAGACTATTTGTAGGTTAGATGATAAACACAAAGAGAAGATATTGGCCTGCTAAGCTTACACCTTAAAACTTTGTGGGAGAGTGGGAATCCAAATCCATCAGTAAAGGGGGACATTAGGTGGGAAGAAGAAGCTAAGTTTCATCCATTGCTTTAAGGTCATCACTAACTATGGATAACTTTGGGAAATAAGTTTAAGAAATATTGCAAATGGCGATCACATGCAACCATTGTAAATACATGCCCCAATTTTGCTCATGTGATCATAAGGGTGCTATGACTGTCATTAATGCGAGTACCAATCATAAGTCACTTTTTTCAGTGACATAATAACTTCAAATGTTCACTAAGGGCCTGGTGGTTTAGCAGACTGATAGCATTGTGATTAACACCAGCTGTCTGCAATTACCAGGCTCAAGGTTGACTCAGCCTTCCATCCTTTCTAAGGTAGGTAAATTGAGGACCCAGTTTGTGGGGGCAATAAGCTGACTTTGTATAAATATACAAAAGTATGAAGGCTATTGCTTAACACATTGTAAGCCGCCCTGAGCCTCCAGAGAAGGGCGGCATATAAATCAAATTAAAATAAATAAATAAATAGATAGATAAAAGTGAATGGACATATTTTGACAGTAGCGACATGCTAAAGGAATTATCCAATAATTTATTTTCAATATAATAAAAAGTAACAGGTTGCTTTTATGTCTGTCTGTCTGTCTGTCTGTCTGTCTGTCTGTCTCTGTCTCCTCTCTCCTCTCCTCTCCTCTCAAAAATAACTCAAGACAGAAAATCTCTCTTTTCCTGAAAATAAAAGCATTTTGTTTGGGTTTGAATGTTCTATCATAAATTAATCAAAACACCAATAAATAGAATGTATGGATACTGCTGGATATTGCTTCCAGCCAGATTAATCACTGTCATTTAATGTACTATTTTAAACTTATTTGTGGAAAATATAGATGGTGAACCAGACAGTTTAAACTTTCTAACCTCTTCAAAATTCAAAAATAAAAATATTAAATAATTTATCAGTGCTGTACATCTGCCTATTCCATAACAGCTTTTGCCATCTAGTTTTCCTGGAACTATTAAAACCTCTTAGATACTATTTCATGCATTAATGTAATTTGGCCACCACTTTAAAATGAAGCTTTTGAAATCTGTTTTTGAGAGAGGAGAACAGAACAACACTTCCTACAAAATATTTTCCATTCTCATCCAAGGCTGAAAAAAGTAATAAACTTGTTGGTTCCATCCAGGAGAGAAAAAAAATTAATGAACTAGAATAATAGTTTATGTATATGTTGCAGATCTATGTACATATTTTTCAAAGTTCTACCAAAATGAGCAGTTACCGGCACTAGTGGATTTAATATAAAAAGGTTAAATTTTTATGTCAACACACTGTTTTCCTCACTGATTCACTTTGACTCTTAATTTGTTCATTTTTTTCATGCATGTTAGTGTTTAGTGTGATAAATGATATACTGTAACTTCAAAGGAGCAGTCAAAAATTGCAGATATATATTTGTTATGGGACATCCCCTGGTATGGCTGTGTGGTCATAGAGCATATATTTTACTGGTACTTTAATTGGGACTTTTCCTCATTTCCTTTTTATTTCCATTGACATAATTTCTTATTAGATTCTTGTGCTATATTATGTGTCTAGGAAAGTACCAAAATGTTAAACTTTTTGTTGTATCAAACTTTCTTTTCCCACTTAGAACTTAAGCAGTAAAACACTGGTTTCCCCATATGATCTCAGGAACAATTCACTGTGTCTCTATGGAGATTTTCAGTCATCCAGGTCATGGTTGTCCCCAAGGTGCTTTTTCAAGAGGCAACTGGACTTTCTTGTTTTTCTTTGAAAAGTTTCTTTGATGGTTTCCCCACTATCCAATCAGAGCTGAAGAAGCTTCTTGGAAGAGAAGCAAAAGAAAGAACCAGAAAGTCCAGTTGCCTCTTGAAAAAGCACCTTGGGGACAATCCACTACATCCTTATTCATGTACAGTACATTTCTCATTCATTAGAGGGAGGTGACATGTAGGAAATGGTGCAATGCCTCTTGAAGATAATGATGAGAGGATTGTATTGAAGCTAAGACGATCAAGCTCTTCAGTGGGTATATTTACTCATTCGTCATCACTACATTCATATGATTCTTATAACAATGTGATGGGAAAACACATTTATTTATAAGATATATATAACCACCCTTCTTAAAATTAATTCTGCGTAGCTCCCAATAAAAAGTTAAAACAGCATAAAAGCTCTATTAAAACTATAAAACTAAACACATGAAAACCTGATGCCAAGTCAAACTTCTGATGTATAGCCATCTAAATTTAGCTGAGCTCTTGGAGGAAAAGTCAGGTCCTCAAAACTTTACGGAAGTCTAGGAGAGTAGATGCCCGCCCTACTTCCAGGGGAAGGGTGGTCCGTAGGGTAGGGGTTGCTGCTGAAAAGGCATACTTCCTAGCTTCCATCAGATGGCAATATTTAGGGGAAGGGACCAAGGATGCAGAATGGGACAGCTTGCTATGGCCATCTTGCCATGGCCGACTCACCACGGCCAACTCACCATGGGACAACTTGCTGCAGGACAATTCAACAATTCAATATTATTATTCAAAATAATTAAAAATATTTTAATGTTTGTCATTCACATTTCATTTTATCCTTCCTTTTGCATCCTTTTTTTAAATGATTTTATTCCACCATTTCTTTGATATTAGTATAACTCTTGTCCTGTGGCAAATTGTTCCATGTGGCTGTGGCAAGTTGTCTCTCAGTGAGTTGGCCGTGATGAATTGGCCATTATGAGTTGACCACAACAAGTTGTCCTAGACCCCAGAGTGCCTTGTGCTTACTTTATCTATGTCAGGGCATTTATTAATCCCATGTTTGGCTCTGGGACTATCTAATCTGATGTCCTTAGGGGAAGGCAGTCCTTCAGATAACATGGTTTTAGAGATGGCAGATGGCACCTTGAATTGCACCTGGAAAGCAATGCAGCTTGCACAAGAGAAGTTATCATATAAATCTGGTGACACATTAATCTGTCACCATTCATGTGGAACTTAGAATGCTTTGCCACTGATTTCTTTGGGAACAAAGCTATAGAAAACATTTTATTTTGTTTATAACTAGCATCTTGCAGAAATAACCATAAATAATTTTGGTTCAGAGTAGCAATCGCTACTTTTTTAAAAAAGAATTATTACTTTTCTCGCCCTTCTGATTAAACATTCTTGCCATTCTGACCTGGAAATGTAAAATTATATGTAAAGTTGTAAAAAAAGAAAGTGAAAAATATATCTAAAAATGATTCATAATGGTTTTTAGATGCTTTATTTTC